AGCACATTTTAGTTTATTTTTGCCCAAAACATGCTATTCAATAAGGAAACACTAAAAAAAAAAAAAAAAAAAGAAATAGCACATTTTAGTTTATTTTTGCCCAAAACATGCTATTCAATAAGGAAACACTAAGTGTAAAAATAATAAATGAGAAACAAAAAGGCAAAAAATTGATTACCTTGTTCTTGGGATGATATCTTTTTTGGCTAAAGATAAAATATTGGGGTGGGGGGGATCCTAAGCTTTGATTTTACAAAAATTGAATCATACTATTTAGAAACAAAAACTGAACTTAGCTCCTTCATTTTAGTGCTGTTATTGAGCTTTAGAACTGTAATTTCAATTTACTGATTTAAATAAAAACCTTTCTGAAAAGATATATTAGTTCTTTTATGTGAACAACTCCAAAAAAATGTGAGGATACATAAGTAGAAAATTTATGAAGGGAAAGGCAGTTATAACAGGAAAAAGCAGTTTTAAAAAACGGAATTGTAATATTCCTTAGTTTCAGATACTTAAAATTAAATAAAATTTAAGGGTCACATATTGCAAAAACATAAAAATGTTTTAATTCCTTTAGATTCATATCTACTCCAAATATAAAATCCCAATTGAATTTCTACTTCCAAATAAATATAGTATCTGAAAACACACCAAATCACAGGAATAACAATTTAATCCTACCTGAAAAAGGTCCAGAAGAGGCTTCCAAGAGAGCATTAAGACTGCTGCTCTGTTGATGGTTTTGGGAATTTCAGAATAAAACAGTGTATTTTCTCTGTTCTCACCAGACATGGCTACATGGAAAAATAATCATTTATTATTATAATAGTTTTCAAACAGCATTCTTAATATAATCATAGGGGTACTAACTACATAATGCTTTGTATATATTACAATATTTTGCGTCCTGGGATCTATGATGAATGTAAACAAGTAGAATATGCACATGCCATATGCTATAGAAATTTTTCTTCAATAAAACTAAGGCTTTATAGAAAAATACTCAGGTACTCAGGTTTCATTTTGATATTCAGATCTTAGTCTTTCTCAAAGCAAACATAAAAGTATGTAAGATTATGTAAGGAAAGTTAAAACAGGCATCATTTTTAGAATTTTTTGAAAATTATTAGTGCCTTACAAGTTGGCAAGACTCCTAAGATTGCAATGTGACAACTTTAAATTACTGTTTCTTCTTTTTCTGAAACATTTTAAGTATTTAGAAACACACATAGGTCTAACTGCATTCTAGTTTTTCTTCATTATAAAAGTTATTTAACTGTAATCATTAATAAGGCTTTTGGAGTTTCAAATACAAGTATACTTATATTAAAATAACACAGACTCTGACATTATATTTGCTAAAAATCTCTTTGTCCTTTATTGGGGAAGGGCAAAGGAAAACAAGGTCTAAACAAGTAGAAGCCAAATCCATTTTGTAAAATCATGCAGTAACTGAATGGGAAGATCGCAGCAGTGTAGAATGAACTACATATAAGAGAAGTGACAGACACTATGGTTATGAAGAATTGAACCAAAGGCAACTTGAACAAAGTAAAACAAAGCCCTTCTACTCTAAGAGGTGCCAAAAAAAGTGTCACTTTCAAAAAGCTACGGGAGAGTGAAGGAAAGAGAAAATAAACCACACAGAAAGAACAAGAAATTTTCTCTTAGGTGAAACAGATTGTCAGGCTGTGTTTCTGATAATGGTAGCAGAAGGTAGTTTGTGGAAAGGCATGGTAACTTCCATGCTAACTCTTGCAAAGGTTGAGGATGAGTCCCCAAATATCCCTATCTTACTTTATTTCCCTAAACCTTTTTCAGTTTGTGTTGCCTCTGGCGTAAAAAGTTAGACATCAGGTGACATTTACTTCAGCACTTGATTTTATCTAAAATCTATTTTATATATTCCAAAGTTGCTTTGTTACGGATTTTTTTTTTTTTTTTTGAGAAACAGAGTCTTGTTCTGTTACGCAGGCTGGGGTACAGTAGCCTGATCATAGCTTACTATAACCTTGGAACTACTGGGCTCAAGTGATCCTTCCTGTCTTGCCTCCCACAGTGCTGGGATTACAGGCATGAGACACTGCACCAAGCTGGTTATAGAATTCTTTTTTTTTTTCTTTCTTGAGACAGGGTCTCACTCTGCTGCCCAGGCTGAAGTGCAGTGGTGTCATCATAGCACACTGCCACCTGGAACTCCTCTACTCATTGATCCTCCTGCCTCAGTCTTCCAAGTTGCTGGGAGTACAGGCATCGACTATCATACCTGCCTATTTTTTAATTTTTTTGTAGAGATAGGTTGATCAACTATGTTGATGAGGCTGATCTCAAATTCTTGGCCTCAAGTGATCCTCCTGCCTTGGTTTCCCAAGTGCTGGGATTACAGGTGTGAGCCACTACACCCAGCCTGTTACAGTTACAGACTGAGGTCATCTATCCATACCATTCATAATTTTACAAAATGTGATCATATCCTCCTTAAGCATATCCTAAGAGCCTTCAGTCCTCAAATACTAAAAACAATCTATTTTTCTTCTATCCTCAAATGACAGCCATTTCTCCACAATCATTCCACTTGTCCTTCTCTATATGCTCCTAGTTCCATAATGTCTTCCTTGGCCAATAACATTTTTCTAATCAACATTCTATGTCCAAGGACACACCAAGTTATTGGGCTTTTCTTCAATTACCTACTGATATTTTTTTGATTTAAATCCCAGAGTGCAGCAGTCGATTTGGGCTAATGTCTTCAGAAAACAGTATAAATGAGTCTTATTTCTCTCTAGGATAATGTGATAACAATAAAACTTAGAATGTGAAAAAGTAAAATGCTTGTACTAAATATGACCTTTTCTAAGCATGCTACATTTGGAATGAGGGTTCTCAAAAACGCACAATTTCCTATAAAAGAAAAGATTTCTTCCAGTTAGGCTCTCAGAAGTGCTAAATATATTAAAATTTTATTAAATTAGAATTTTTTTTAGAAGCAAGAGTCTCACTCTGTGCCCGGGCTAGAGTGCCATGGGTCAGCCTAAGCTCACCAGCAACATCAAAAACTTCCTAGGCTCAAGTGATCTCCTGGCTTCCAGCCTCCAGTAGCTGGGGACTACAGGGCAAAAAACCACACCATGGCGGCTAATTTTCTAATATATTTTTAAGTGGGTCAATTGAATCGTAGTGGTGTTGAATAGAGAGATTGGGGTCTCGCTTTGTTCGCTAGTTTGAAACTTCTTGACCTTTGGTGGCGGAATTCTTCTATCCCGATGCTGTCTGGTCCTGACCTAGATGGGCTGTAATTTATAAATTGAGCGTTGTTATAGTCTTATAAGAGCTAGCCCTTTACATAGCGCGCGAACTGAGCTAACGGACTACTTTCTTATGCACATCATCGAAGAGCACGTAGTCAACTTCTGCTCAAGCTCTCACACCTCAGCTGGAATGAGGCTTCAAGTAAGGGTTTGAACACTGAACATTTGATTAATATAAAGGCCACTACTTGTTGTAGAAACCATACTTGTTTCTTTGTCGATATATTAATTCAGGCTATTCTTTCAAACAGAAGCTTTCAAATGTATCGTTCAAAGTCATGAAAATGCGCTTTCAATAATCTGTATTTTGTTCCATTAAATGATCTGATGACCTCCCAATCACCTACAGCATCAATCAAAATAATGTAGTTGTTTAGTCTTGTAAATATCTTAATGTGGATATCTGATGAGGACGTTCAAGTTGATACGGAGTGGAGGGAGGTTAAACAACCTAAATTTACATTCTCATAGATAAACAAGCTAACAAGAATAGTGAAGACAAGTATGAAAAAAAGTGATGTAGTGTTATCAAATAGTAAAATACATAGAGCTATAATAACAGCAACAATGTATTAGCATTTAACAGATCAATGGAACAAAACAGAAAGTCCAAAAATAGACCCAAATACTTATATATGGGAACATTACATATAATAAAGATGGCATTGCAAGAAAGGTAACTATTCAAAATATGTTGTTAAAATAACTGGATAGCCATCCAAAGAGAACAAGTAATTTCTCTACTTCATATATTATGGAAAAGTTTTAAATGATTCAAAGAATGAAAAACTTTTTAGAAGAAACCATTAACAATTTTTAAAAATATAATCTTAGAGTTGGGAGCGACTTTCCAGATACATCACAAAACTAAAGAAAAGTAAAAATTTTCTCCCAAAAATAACACAAATTTCTACATAGCAAAAGGCACTAAAGGTAAAAGACAAATTAAAACTCAGGCGAAAAAATACCACAAAGGATTAACTCCCTTATTATGTAAAATGTTTCAAATCATTAAGAAAAAGAAACCTAGCTAAGCACAGTGGTTTATGCCTGTAATCCCAGTGCTTTGGGAGGCTGAGGTGGGAGGGTCATTTGAAATCTGGAGTTTAAGACCTTAGCCTAGGCAATGTAGCAAGACCCAATTTTTATAAAAAATAAAAATATTGAGCCAGGTGTGGGGGCACATGTCTGTAGCCCTAGCTACTCGGGAGGCTGAGGTGAAAGGATTGCTTGAGCCCAGGAGTTCAAGGTTACAGTAAGCCATGATCATTGCAACAGAGTGAGAATCTGTCTCTAAAAAAAGAAAAAGAAACCCATCCCCTCCAAAAAGGCAAAGATTATAAATATATCAGTTATAGAAAAGGAATACAAATGGCTTTTAGACATGTGAAAAGACAATTCCACTCATAATAAAAGAAATATAATAAAAACCACGAGAGACTGCTGTCATTAATCAGACTAGGAAAGCTTAAAAAGTTTGATTGCTCACTATTGGTGTAAGTGTGGAAAAAAAGATACTCAGTGCTGATGGTAATACAAACCCTATAACCTCTTTGGAGAGGGAATTCAGCAATATCAATTAAAATTCATAATATATATGTCCTTTGTCCCAGCAATTCCGCCCTTAGAAATTAGTTCTATAGTATATTCACAAATGTATATAATAATCTAATACACTGACATTCACCGCCTCATCTTTTGTAATAGCAGATTAGAAAAACCTGAATGCCATTATTAGCGATATGGTTAAGTAAAATATGGCACAATTATATAATGGAATATTCTAAAGTTGTTAACAAAGAATGAATCTATAGAATCTATAATTATGATATGGATTCATACATAGAGTATGTCTAAAAAGTTTTCTATACACATGAAT